AAGGAGTAGGTAATCGTGGAGATGAAGCTAAAGTAGGAAGTAGGGATTGTGGGATAGTTAGTTTAGCGAGGGAAAGTTGTGAATCGAACATAACATCGGAGAGAGAGAAGGGCACGACGTCGAGATAGAGATGGTATGCCTGATTCAGTATATAGGCTCTCAACTGGAGAGGAGCGGAAGGCGCCTAGTGCTAAGCGAAGACCACAGTGGTGGATTGTGTCGAGATGGGCAAGGAGAGAAGTTGAGGCAGAGGAGTAGATATGGCATCCATAATCAAGAGTGGAGAGGATCAAAGTAACATGAAGATGAAGAAGAGTTTTGCGATCTGAGCCCCATGATATATGGGATAGAGTTTTTAAAATTCGAAGGCGGCGGAGAGCTTTCTCTTTAATGTGTAGAATATGGTCTCGCCAGGTCAGTTTGGAGTCAAAAATGACGCCTAGGAATTTGCCAGAGGAACGGCTTTGGAGTGGAGTGCCATATAATAAGAGTGGGGGTAGGGGACCTATACGTGAGCGAGAGAAAAGGATGGAGAAAGATTTAGAGGTAGAAAAGCGGAAGCCATGGTTTGTGGCCCAGGAAGATACTGATGAGATTGCAGATTGAAGAAATTGGTAGAGATTTGGTATGGATGTGCCTGAGGCATAGATGGTTAAATCATCAACATATAGTGATGATCGGGCTCCTGGTGGTAAAACTGAGACAATATCATTAACAGCAAGAAGGAATAAAGTGGTACTGAGTACACTGCCTTTTGGGGCCCCTTCGATTTGAGGAAAGAAAGATGATGTGGCAGTAGCAATTTTGACCAGAAAAGTGCGTTGGGAGAGGAAAGACTTTATGAAGACACCCATGTTTCCACGTATGCCTAGAGACGTCAATTGTTGGAGAATATGGTACCGCCATGTCGTATCATATGCCTTTTCTAGATCAAAGATATAGCTAGTACAGATTCATGGCGTGCAAATGCAGATGTAATATATGTCTCAAAATGAGCAAGGGGGTCAGCTGTGCTTCTGGCACGGCGAAAACCGAATTGGGAAGGAGAGAGGAGATTGTGATATTCAAGATACCACATTAAGCGGAAGTTCACCATTCGCTCTAATAGTTTGCATAAGCAGCTAGTTAGTGCGATGGGGCGATAGTCTTGAGGGAGGGTACCCGATTTATTGGGTTTCAGGAAGGGAAGGATAAGAGCTTCTCGCCAATTAGAAGGAAAATTTCCTGATGTCCATATGTGGTTGTAAATTTTTAATAGGAAGGATAAGGAGGAAGATGGGAGTTGCCGAAGCATACGGTAGTGAATACCATCAGGGCCTTCATGAGTGTTGCGGCCGATTGTAGGGCAGCAATGAGTTCAGAGGAAGAAAATGGAGCATTATAGGACTCAGCAGAGGATGGGGTGAAGGTAATGGGGGTACTTTCTCTGGTGGTTTTGATAGAAGAGAAGTGTGGAGAGAGGTGAGAACCACTACTGACCTGGCTGAAATAATCACCCAGTTCATTAGCGACTTGGAGAGGTTCAGAAATGAGGGTATTTTGAATATGGAGGACGGGGGTAGGATGGGGGGGATGTTTGCCTGATAGTTTATGGATTCGTCGCCAAACATTTGAGATAGATGTAGAGGATGTAATTGATGAAACATAATTTCGCCAGCTATTTGTTTTACTATTCCGAATTGTACGCCGAAGACAGGCAGATGCTCTTTTAAAGGAGATAAGGGCTGATAGTTGATTTGGAGTACCTCTTTTGTAGCGATAACTGTTCCAGGCTGCACGTTTTAAGCGAAGTGCTTTAGTGCAATCAGAATTCCACCATGGAACACATTTAGAGGTATATGGTCTTGAGGTTCGAGGGATAGCTGTATGTGCAGCTCTTAAGACTGTAGTTGTGAAATACTGTATCATTTCTGAAATGGAGGTGAGGGAGGAAGGAGGGTTATGAATAGCAGAGAGTGAAGTGAAAGTATGCCAGTCGGCTCTATCAAAGCACCAACGTGGGGAGTTAGGAAGTGGTACGTATGAAGTAGGAGAAAGGAGAACTGGAAAGTGGTCACTATAGGGAAAGTGGTCTAATACTGACCAGTGGAAATCTAAGTGAAGGGAAGGGGAGCATAGGGAGAGGTCAATGCATGAAAAAGATTGTGTGCGTGTATCAAAGTGTGTGGGGCGATCTGAATTTAGAATTGTAAGGTCAGCTGTGGAGAGAAAGCGCTCTAGAGATCGGCCTCGGGAGTTGGTGATAGAATCACCCCAAAGAGTGTGGTGGCAGTTAAAGTCACCAACTATGAGGAAAGGTGGTTGAAGTTGGGAAATTAGATTTTCAAAAGCAACAAAGTCAATGGGGTGGGAAGGGGAGAAGTAGACTGAAATCACTGTGATCCAACGATGAAGGAAGATACGAATGACTGTACAAGGGACATTGGTTTGAAAGGTAGGTGTGACATAAGGTGTTTTCTGATTGATGAGTATGGACGAGACATAAAGGGAATGTGGGGAAGAGACAAAATGGTAATTGGGGATTGGTATTGGAGGATGTGTGAGAAAGGTTTCTTGGAGACATACAATAGATGGGTTATAAGAGGAAAGGATATGACGAAGGTCAGGTCTGTGGGAGCGGAAACCGCGAATATTCCAATGAAGGATAGTTATACTTTCGTTGATTTAGTGATATAGATTGTAGTACGTGTTGGAGAATTTGAAGGGGTAGTAGCTAGAGGGTGGGATAAGGACTGAGAGGTTTGAGATGGGAGAGGTGTGGGAGTTGGTGTTCTATCAGGATGGGTATTAGGAGATGGAGGGTCAGGGGATATTTGTGACATACTATCAGGATGGGTATTAGGAGATGGAGGGTCTGAGGAAGGGGATACTTGTGACATAAGGGATTCACGTGTGTATCCAGGAGGGAGTGGAAGGGATAGAGGGGATGGTGGGAGGGTTAATGTGGGTGGGGTTGGAGTCAGGGGGGATGGGCTGTGTTGGGAGGGGGTAGGAGGATAGGGTGTAGGGGGAATATCGTTAGGTGGAGGATGGATATCGGCAGTCACTTGGTGTGTGGAGGGATCAGAAGTTGTAGGTTGAGTGTCAGTTTTCATTATGTATTCTTGAATGTTTTCAATAGTTTCTTCTGTGGAGTTGGTTGGGGAGTTTTGGGGGATAAAGGATTTCTTATGAGGGGGGGGAGGAGAGGACTGGTGTTTCTGGTGGAGGTGATTGTGTGGTTGGGGAAGAGGGGGTGGAACGTTTGTTCTGTCTGTTTCGGTAGTGCGAGGAGGGAGGGGGGAAGGTGTTAAGGTTGTAGTGGTGATTGGAGTATCTGTAGTGGAGATGGGAGTGTCCTGGGTTTAGGATGGCAAAAGAGTTTGATTGGGGAAGGTAGGATGTAGAAGTGGGGGGGTTAGATGTAGGAGGGGTGGGTTTAGGAGAAGTGGTAGAAGTGGTAGAATGGGCTGTATTAATGGAGTAAGGAGTAAGAGAGAAACCACGTCGTCGTGCTTCCTGTCTGGCTTCACGCAGTGTGAGTCCAAGTCTGAATCTGAGAGTTGCTACCTCAGATTCAAATTTGTAGGTGGGACAGCCCCTATAAAATACATTATGGGGGCCGCCACAGTTGGCACATGTGCGTGAGTTTGCAGGGCAGTTAGATCGGATATGGCCAGTTTGGGCACATAGTGGACATCTGGCTGTGGAACGGCAATGTTTGGCTGGGTGTCCTAGACGCCAGCAATTTTGGCACTGACGTGGGGGAGGTTGGTATGGGCGGACAGGGAGGGATTCTCCTCCTATGTAGACGTTAAAGGGAAGGTCATGTCTACGGAAGGTAATTTTGGCGATGTTAGTGGGTTTCTTACGATGACCTCTGGGAGGGATGGAGTAACATTGTACTGATGTCGCATCGTAGTCTGTGAGACAGGCGAGTAAGTCTTCTCCACAATCTGACCAATCTTTGTCATAGATTGGGCAGTTTTCTGGGGAGATAGATACGGTTCCAGTGCAAGTATTGAGAGTTGGATGGGGTTCTGCAAGGATAAGGTTACCATATAAATCAGTTAGTTTTGCTAATGCTATAGCTTGATTTTCTGATGTTACTGTGACAAGACGGGAGCGGTCGGGTCGGCTACGGAAAGAAACTTTACCTACTTGTTTTTGTAGACATTGTTGGAAGAGAAGGGTGTTGTCAGAGTAGGGAGCTGTGGGAGGGATCACGAAAAATCGGTCCCATTTGGCTGCACTAAAGAGAGTGTTCAAGATTGTTGTAGGGGTGGTAGAGGGGCGGGGGCGTGACGAAGATGGAGTAGTGTTGATGGAGGTAGTGTTACGGAGAGGTGGGCAATAAGGCTGTAAGGTAATAAGGGAGGATGGAGTGGTTGATGTTGGAGGTTGTGGGGGTAGAGGTGTTGAAGTTGAGCTTGTTGGGAGAGTGGAAATGTTCCTTGAGGGTTGGTTGTTGGCTATTGTACTATTAGGCATTGATGAAGGGGTATTTATTACAGTGTTCGGAGCCGTGGTCAAAGGAGAGCCTGGGGTCTGGGAATCGGGTGGGTTTTCTTCGTTGGGGCTATTTGATAAAGGGGCAAGCCTCATTGCCCCTAATAGTGGAGATAGATTTTCATTATTGGCCATGGTAAGCCTGGATGATGTTGGGGATAAAAACAGTCCACCCCTCAGGGTCCCCTTGAGGGGTAAGGGCTAGAACTAAATCAGGGGAATACCGTGCCCATGGTTCCCTCAGGCCGTTCAGGACTGGCACTAAGTCAGCCTTTCATCCTTTCAGCACGGCTCTCACACCTTAGGAGGTGGATAGCAGAAGGGTTTGGTGAAGGGATAGAAACAAAAGTGGGAAGGGAAAAAGGCCATGCATAATTAGTTGAGTCGAGGGCTGAGTCCCAAGGTTGGGGAGTTCCCATCATTGGGTCCCAGTCTCCGCCTCCTAAGCCCCCCCACGACAACAACGGGCAAGGGATTGGGGGGGAGTGGAAACAGAAGAAAGATATGAAGCCAAAATTAATTTCATTTTTATTATTTGTCAGGCTTTACAATTACTACATATATAAAAATATACATACATACATCTACAGAGCTAACACTGTTCAGCATGTTCAGAAAGACATAAACACTAGGGAAAAGAATGACCTAAGACTAATAAAATCTTGAATATATGACAATTATAATACATATACATACAAAAAACAAAACATACTGGCTATGGATTATTGAAGCAGTCAACATTTTCAGCTCTTCAGCATGCTTACTTCCTTCACTTAAAGATGTATTTACTAAAGGAGAAGGAAAGTAAAAGTTTTGCTCAGCTACAGTGATCAGATCATCAATGGAATGACAGCTTAGATGTTAAATATAAGGATC